AGAAAAGTCTTCCCTAAGTTGCTGAGTCTGGCTTTGAATTTGTGATCCTTCTGCTTCAGTCTCCTGAGTCTCTGGGTTTACAGGTGTGTGCCACCATGCCTGGATCTTATGGGTACCATTTATTTCTATCATTCCTCCTCATTTTCCTTTTGGTAGAATTCTACAGTAATTGAAACTATGGAACATATAAGGAAGGTTTGTTCCTACTTCCATATTTATTTATATGTTTGCTCATAAGGGGCTCATGGAGATTTACTTCATTATTTAGGTTAAAATCTAATATTAATATTTATCACTCAGATTGTTACAGCTTCCTTTTTATGTGCCCCTATCCTTTATTTTTTAAAAGTATTTCCTGGGGCTGGGGTTGTCCTCTKCACCACATAAATAAATAAAATAAAGGCATTGTGTCCAACTACAACTTAAAAAAAAAAAAAAAGTATTTCTTTACTTGATGCTGGAACTCATCTTGGTTTTTTCCCTTACCCCAGCCCTAGAATCAGATATTTCTCCAGAAACCTGGATCCTGTAATTGGAGAACAGGATAAACTGAACCTGGGCTATTGAGTGGGCTCATTACTTCTAGGTCTCTCAGTGGGAAGTGCTAGGACATCTAAGGACATGCCACCCACACTAGCATACATATCCACATTTATCTCCAGGTCTGTCTGCACATGTATGTAACTACACACACATTCATGTTGAGCTCTTGACTTTGATACAGCCCCACAGGTCTATCAGGTCTCCCTGCTTCTTTATAATGACTCTCTGTGAAAGGCAAACAAGGCTTCGGCCATCCACTACTTATTCAAATATTTGTTGCACTCTGATGGACCTGGATTCAGAACTGTTTCCCACTCACTATGAGAAACCAAGTTACCACCTAGACCATTGTATCTCTACAGGGTTATCTTTAACTTTACAGTTGGAACACTTCTCCAGACTCCTTTAGTTGGCTTCTATCTGCCTTCTCTCCCCTGAGTTGTTATCCAGTTTGTCATAGTGCACAGTCCTTCCTGGGGCTCCTGATATCCTGCTGGGTTGGCTGGTTGTTTTTAATGTACATACATTGAAGTTTATTCTGTGTATGGGGGTCTAGAGGTTTAGCAGTGCATGGTCATGAACACCCCTTCCCCAGGATCACACAGAGCAGCTGTGTGCCCTGACATTGGGTGCCTTGGATACAGACTCAGGTGTGAATACTTGGATATCTGACACTCATAACAGCTGCTATCTCTGGAAACATGTTTACCTTTGGCCTTGGGGGACCAAAGGCTCATTGCTGGTCCAAGTGGGTGTGCCTGTGTTCACTGGGTGTCTCACAGCATCTTCCTCATGATTTGCCAGTCAGGGCCGGGATCTGCAGCTGTGCCTATGGGACCTGGCAGAGGGCAGGAACACCATCATGGACTCTGTGCACCTGGAAAGTGTGGGCTTCTGCAGGAGCTCCATCCTGGCTGAGGGGCAGTTGCACTGGATGCTTGCTGTGCCAGGGAAGGACAGTGATGAGGTAATGACTCTTTAGGCTCCTTGTTCCATGAGSCTCTGGCTCTGGGCTTCTCTTAACAAATATACTCATCCTCCATACCTGGTAAGGGGGCACACTGCTGCCTGAAAGACTCTGTGGAGCTGATGGCTGCAAGTCTAGGGACTAACAACTTCACTGTAGTTCCAGTGACCTCAAGCTAGTGCATGGCTGGCTCCACCTAGTTCTGGTCACCTGTGAAGTGGTCTTGGACTCATACCTGCCCTCTGGCCTACTTGAGTCCCCTTACCCTTATCCTTTACTGCAACCAGGGGGATCTTCTTGAGTCATCCTCCCAGGGCACTTAAGAATCAGAAAGGAGCCCAGAGAGAGGGACCTGTATCTCAGAGGCCTTGTTACCCAGTAGCCTTGTTACTTTGTTACCCATGGAGAAGAGTGGCTTAGAATGGCTAAATATTCAGGCCCAAGGCCCCTAGGGGCAGTTGCGGGAGAAACCACTCACATCCTCAGGGATCTTAGACTAAAGTAGAAGGAATGCTGGAAAAGGTGGTGGACAAGAGACCAAGGCCCTGGTGAAGTCAGAAGTAGGGCATTAGAGCAGCAATCATAATTGCAGGGCTACAGGTAAATAGGAAGATGGGGTTCATTGGGAGCAGAGGGGTCATGGTCAGATTGTTCTTAGGCCAGAGTGACCAGAGGCATTGGTTATGTGGGAATGATCAGCTGAATAGTGGTATTCAAGCCCCCAGGATCAGAGAAAGCAGAGTTCACCAAGGGAAGGGGTGCCCATGACATGAGGAGGGGCCRAGAGCAAGAAGCCAGGGTGGAGGGTAGTATAAAGGAGGAAGGTAGGGCTATAGGCCCAGCTTCCCGGGGAGATGAAGGGAAAGTGGAGATCATTTGGCCTGGTAAGTGTGCAGCACAATTGCTCCAGGGCCCAGAGGGTAAGTGAGGAAAAGAAGGGGACTTTTGTCTATCACCCTGTCTTCCTGTGGGCCTGTGAGCCTTTAGGGCCTATAGTGCTGGGCAGGGCGGCTCCTGCTGGTGCTGGCAGATCAAGTCCCATGTAGTCAGTTAGACTTGGCCCTCACCCAAGAAAATTCATTTTGTCTTCAAGTAGATCCAGTTCATAAATAATGAGATAGCAACAGGCATTTATTTGTTCATGATTGCATTTAAATTACCAATTAGGAGCTACATACACTTTTCTTGCCAATTTGCCAAAAACCTGTTAAAAGTTTTATTAATGTGAGAAGGAGGGGCATGCTTCCCCCTGGACAGTGGAAACAGTCAGTGCCAGCTCCTTCTGAGCCACACACTCACATAATGCCATCCTGATGTGTGTGAGAGCTCTTTTTCAGAGTGGTACTGTTGGCCATCCTCTGTGTCCATCTCAGCCACCCCTAAGCCACTGGCCAGCACAAAGTCAGCCTGCCATCTTTCTCCCTGGASGCTATATATCCCTGTACGGTTTTAACCAGCTTTCTGGCTCCTGGTTCTCCCAGTGCAGGTGGTATTTTTCAGGAGCAACGGTCTGGGGACCATGCACATCCTGGGAAAATGGTTTGTTTTCCACATTCCCACCTGGAATCTGCCTGGACTAGCCCCTTGAAAAGTATTGCTGGCCTGTGCCCAGACAATTCCTGGGGAGCGTGCTCCTGCCCTGCTTGGCCATCTGGGTGGCCACACTTGCCCCAACTCAACATTTTTCCTTCTGAAAACAAAAGTTGCAGTTGGGTGCCAGATGGAAAGTTCTTGGTTTCTGTAGGAGGCTTTGAACACAGGGCAGGAACTCCTCCTYCAACCCCACAGAGGCCTGGGCTGGGGTACTCAGACGAGGTAGATGTAGGCCTGCTTTATATGCTCAGGCCCTGAGCTCTCTGCTCTCTTGCACACAAGTAGTGGGTTATGGTACCACCACTCCTCCATCGTCTCTCCCACAGTGTTCAGCTCAGGCTCTCAGGACTGCCTTAATTTTCACCTTCTCCTTTCCCCTTGACAGAGAATAGACTTGCTATATGACTCATACCTTCCCTCTGGCCTACTTGAGTCCCCTTACCCTTACCCTTTACTGCAACCAGAGGGGTCTTCTTGAGCCTGCAGATGGGAACAGATCCTCCTTTAACAACATATGGATGTGGGCTGTGCAAATTTCTGCCTCCTTCAGCACCCCCCACCTGGTACATGCGTGTTTTGTGGCAGCTGCTCCTTCCCACTATAYTTGGGTTGCAGTTCTAGCCCTTGCCTACTGGCTGTTCTCTACAAGCCACACCCTGTACCTATAGCTCCTCACACAGTGACTGGCTGATTCTGCAAAAAAAAAAAGCTGAGGCTGAGCCACTATGGGGACCTTGATGAGAGCACCCTGCCCAGAGAGCACCACAGCTCAGCCTGCCATTGGTGGATGCATTGGCAGAACTCTAGCCGAAGACCCAGGCTGCTCAGTACTCTTCCCTGCCCAGAGACTACCCTGGACATGGCCCCACCCCAGCACATTCATGGTAGAACTAGAATTCAGACTTAGGGACCCAGGCCCCTTGTCCTGGATGGGTTGGTGAAAGCAGCACAGCTCTCACTTGCATGGGCACTGAACCTTCAGACATTGTCCTCCAACCCAGCCTGGGAGGCTGAATCAGTAGGTATAAGTTCTGTCCAGTTGACACCCCAACCTCTCTGGACCTTAKATTCCTCATGTGCAAACCAGAAGATACTTGTGTTGGCTGGCCTTTGTTTCCAGGGTGGCTGAATATCAGTGTGATTGCTACTTTATTGATAGAGATACACTCTCACTAGTACCTAGGGAAGTTCAGGGCCAGCAGAGACCCCCTAATTTGCAGAGTGATGGCAGAAGGCACAGGTAGGCCTGACTTGCTAAAGAACTACTTGACAACAAACACAAGGCAGGAGGAACATTTGGCCAGCCCTGCGCTACATTGTGTCTTGAGGGAACCCCCTACTCCTCTGAGTTCAGAGGAGTGCTGCCCTGTCCCCCTGAGGAAGCTCAAATATGCAGGGACACAGGACAACTAGTGACCTGATTCTGGCCATTGATGCTCCAGAGCCCAAGTCTTATTGTGGCTTTGGCTGTCCTCTAGGGAGAGAGTTGGGTAGGGCCTATCCTGTCTGGTCAGATAGGCAGTCCACTCAGGTTGACAGGCCAGCACATGAGACTGGACTATATTGGCCACAAGGTATGTCTCCAAACCCAGTTTTAGGAGGGCCTGGCATCTGCGCAGGCTGGTACAGGGGGACTAGAAAGCCAGGATCCAAATGGACTTTCCCTAGGCACTGCACATCATGCTTGTTTTGTAGGCTGCTGGTGGGTCCCAGGTCCTATGCAAGTCATTGTACTACTTGATGTGTCTGAGTTGGTTTTAAGTGTTTTTTGTATAAAACCTATGCCAAGAAAGRAAGACAAACAGGAAGGAGAATGGCCAAGGTAAGTCAGGGCCAAATGAGTTAGGTCTGTTCTGCCTAGATGGCAGAATCAGGAGAGCCAGAGGCAGCCATCAGTCGGTGATGGGCTGGTCACTCAGGAATGATGCAAGCATTTGTTTCACAATAGCCCTGGCAGCACCCAAGCCCAYGAGCCTGTGCAGCCTAATTAGGAGACTCAGCTTCCAGGTCCCCATGGGGAGGGGGGCAGACAGAAACTCGCAGCAGCTTTGGTTAATCGCCTTAAAAGTCTCTTGTTTGTATAGCACAAACTCAACTTGGCATTGGCCCAAATCAACTTGTTTTTTTACTGTCAGGTTCAGATTCTGGAGATGCCATCCAAGACGTCAGTGTGCACCCTGAAGCCGGAGGCAGATGCCAAGCCAGGCATGCCCATGTGCCTGAGGCTGTGGCAGGTAAGGCAAATGTTCACCAGCCACGCCCTGCTGCCACACCCGCCAGACTGTGAGTCATGCCCCATTCAGGATTTGATTTGTTGTCAAACCAATTGGACAGTATCCCCTTCAGAGAACATGTGTACCTGCTACCACAGCCCCAGTGTCCCTGGCCAGACCTGTGCTCCTACCCTTACACCCCCACACTCCCAGTTGCTGCTGATTCTAATTCCAAAGGGCTCCTGCAAATTTCTCAGAGAGCCCTGGCTTTGGTGCTTATCCTCTGCAGGCCCAGTTGGGCTCACCCTTCAGGGTAACCTCCTGCTGGTGATGGTAAGGAGGGGACAGAAGTGTCAGCTGCCACTCAATGGGGATTCAAGCCCTTCTCCTTGGCACCTTGGTCCCAGGCTTTGCTGAGGCCAAAAGAGAAAATACTGACTAACTTTGGCAACCCCTCATGGCCCTCATTATGCTTGGAATTAATTCTTGTGCTTCTCTTAGAGGTAGGAGTGGGCTTCTTAACACTTTGACTGCAGCCCCCTGGGAATTTCTGACCCACAGCCATTTCTTCTCAGTTTTATTTTCTAGTTAGAGTTAGGAGGCCTCTCCTGATGTTGTTAGCAAAAACTGGGGCCCTAGTTTTCAGTGGGGCCTGGGATGGGTCCTCCCCCAGGCAGCCCTTCTGGAGATGAAGCCTCTTTCCTAGTGATCCGCCCAGGTCATTACTGGCCCAGTGTTTCCCCTCCTGGGGTCACTGGTGTCTACAGTAGCAGAGTAGATGTGTTCATTCTAATGTGTTCATTTGCAAAGAACCCCAGAAACTTCTTTGACATTGCAGAACCCATGGTGGGCAGATTATTGAGCAACACCTATCTCAGGAACAATTGATAAACCTCAGGTCATCTTCCTAGTCTGGGTGCTAAGAACAACCCTGTCCATGGTCAGGGAGAAGCAATTCCTGCCTTGTGCCTGCTGCTTCTTTGAACTCAGAAATTTCTAAGTGTTAGATGAGATGGGCCTCTGTAGTTTGGAAGTATCTAATTACCACACAGGAACCACTGGGGTAGGCACTCCCAGAGACCCTGTCCCAGGTATTTCTGTCCACCCACCTAAGCAGAAAGATTGCTGGCCTATCTTGCATCTGGTGCCATCTGCAGTTTCTTGACTGAGAAGGTCAAAGTTGGAATTCAAGATTTTCAAAAAGCTGATCCTGGGTGTTCCCTCTGCTGCTAGAGCCTCTTGGAGAGAAGCCCCTAGGGAATTTGAGGATGTGGGGGCTTCTGAGAGGCTTATAAGTCTCATGAAATGATGAAGTAAAGGGCCTCATGCTGTCACAATTGCAACCATGCCCTAGGTATTAAATAGAGCCTAGGTCATTGCACTTAATGTGTCCACACAGGGTTCCTTTGTAGGCTCATTGGTACTTTCCTGGAAGGACAAACACCCCCTCACTCCACACACACACCCCTAAATGCCACAGGCAGTGACCATGATGCTCGTAGGACCTGGGGGGCAGGTCACCTGCAGCTGTACTTCTATTCCACTCCCTGAGAAATGTGGGTCATTGCACAATCATCCAAAAATTCCAACAGAAAAAWATGTGTAGAAAGGGATGTACAAACTTGTTAAGGTAATTAATATAGTTGACAGAAGGACAAATCACGGTTTTGCTGGTGATATGGATCCAACATTAAGTATTCAGCTGAAAAAAGTAACTTGGAATGTTCCTCTTTTTCTACCCAAACCTAAAGATCTGGGTTATAAACTTATTAACCTTAGTGTGGCAGARTGACTAGACTGGATATTTTTTTCCTGAAACATTGAGGTCTATTATTTTGTTTCTCAAAGCAACTGACCTACATTGTTTATTACTGCATAAAAGGTCAGGATCCAAATCAGGCTGGAGGCAGTATCATTGGCACCAACCTCAGAGCAAGGACTTCCCAATTCCCTACTCTCTGGCCCACTCCAGCTGGACCCACCTGAGTTGGGAAACAGAGAGTTGGGGGCTCCCCATGGGACTCTGGCCTGCTATAATCCCTAGGCCACATAGGGACAGGACTACAGAGTGAATTCTTAGCTCCAGATCTTAGTTGGGGGTGAGGGGAGGAGCCAGAGATAAGTAGATCAGAAGACTACAGCCTCTTATCCCTGAAGGGGCCCAGCAGCACCAAGAGTGTGGYCACCAGGGGTTCCCCTACCATGATAGCCTATCTGATCCATGGTGTCTGATACTGGGAGGCTGTAGAAACCTGGGGCATAGCAGAGAGCTAGATGGCCAGGTGCTGGACTAGTAGTAGTGGCTGGGAGGGACCAAAACTATAGGGCAACTCTCTCCAGACCAGGCTGGTTCTTATTTGTCATGGAACCATGACAGGTGGATTATCATACCTAGCCTCTGAATTAAGTTGTGCTTAGCCCTCAGGAGCCACAGCCTTTACTCAGAGACTGGCCAGAACCAATGTCAGCGATAAAGATAAACCCTTGGACCAGTTTCAGCTCATAAGACACAGAAGGAGAGTATCCTATGAAGGAGGGAGAGTGGGAGGCTTGGCTAAGACTCTAAAATTGGGAGTAGATACCACCATAAAGCACTACCCTAGGGGAGTAGATCCAAGTGACCCTATGCAAGTTCTTTAGAATGGCTTCTGGGGCAGTATACATTACCTCAGCTGTTAGCAGGGTGTGTGTTCTTGGTTGGATGCAGAGTTCCAGGCTTCTCCCACCTGGTCCTGACACTGACCTAGATACATACAAAGCTGTTGGCCCAGGGAAGCACATCTGGTAAAGGCTTGATGGCCTACACAGACTTGTAGTACAGAGAGTGTTTCTACTTTGGCACACTCTATGTCCATATCTGCGAGAGGAATGACATGAGTCTGCACAAATCATTTCCAAGCAAGTGATCTGAAAAGCACCAGTATGAAACTCTTCCCTGTGATGAAACTACAGGAACAGCACAGCAGCACCTCTAGGGCTTCTGTCCAGTGGAGACAGGGCCAGCACATGGGGATCTGTGCATCCAGAGACCCTAGGCAGACCTGCCTCTCAGGATTGAGCTGAAGGGCACAGGGTGGGCTTGGCAGGGGAGTAGGACGTGACTCTAGATGATGCCTAAAGGGAATTGCTCAGGAAGACACAGAGCTGCCAGTACCTCCTTCTAGAATCCTCCTTTCTCCCTGTTTTTTGTTTGTTTGTTTGTTTGTGTGTGTGTGTGTGTGTGTGTGTGTGTGTGTGTGTGTTTGAATTACCATCAGGATGCAGTCTGTATACAAGCCATTTCTGGGGACATATGGAGGTTGCCTCTAGACCAGCTCTGGCCTTGGCAGGTTCGCCATATCTACGTACAAGCCTGGGGTGATTTTGCCCTTCCTGTTCCTGCTACAGCCCTGCAGCCATCCCTCCAGTGGCCCCAGGCCTAGCTTCTCCAGTTCCCATAAAACATATCCGCAGCCTTAGCTTCTCACCCCCAGCTTTTTTTTTTCTTTGAGATAGTCTTGCTCTATTGCCCACACTGATCTTGAACTCCTAGACTCAAAAGTTATCCTCCTACCTAAAGCTCTGAAGTAGTTGTGACTACAGCATGCTCCACTGTGCCTGTCTCTTATGATACTAATGAGAGCTATGGTCTTTGTAATGTTTGAGGGTGTAGTGTCCACTCCAGTAACCCAGGCCTCCTTGCCCAACCATCCAAGTTTTCTTTTGGTTAACTGCTTTTAGCTAGTACTGATGGCTGCATCCCCCAGGGTGACTTGGAATCCTGCAGTGCTCTTCTTCTGTAGTTGTTTCAGAGGCTAAATAAACGAGGCATCCGCCCAGGGCGCAGAGCCCTCTGACCCTCATCCTCATTCATCATGATAGCAAAGACTGCTAGAGCCTGCTCACACCAGACTTCCAGGGGCGGGGGCTTCCGCAGCCACGTTGACAAAGCACAGAAAGTTCGTTTTTCAATTAGATGGAGTTTGCAATCTTCATGGCTGGTGGTTATAGACAGGTGACCAACCCTAGCAAGGGGGTCCTTGATCCTCTGGCCTGAGAAGTGGRGGCAGTTAGATAGGTCCCCATCAGTCTCAAGGCATTTGCAAATGCCCAGATGGACCCCTTAGGCAAGATGAAATGCTGGCAGCTGGTAAGAAGCAGCATGGCCCTGTGAGGCCTTAGGGGCTTGGCTGGTATACTCAGGGATTTGCCCTCCAGCCCCTCAGGTGCTTAGCRATGGCCCTGCTAAGACCCATATTGGTTGTAGTAGTCATCAAGGTACTCAGGTATACAAGGTATACAGGAGAACACAAAGGGTGCAAAGCCTCAGGAGTATCATGAGAGCATAGGAAACTACTCCCAGGCTGGTTTACCCCACCTCTGGGCCCAGCATGAGAGGTAACCTGTCTCTGGATCCCTGTCTTCCTGTAACTCACTGAAAGTAGGGGACTTCAGGGAGCTGACCACTCTGTTGTTCCCTGCAGGCTAACCCTGGCCCCCGCCCTCTCCTTCTGGTCGGCTATGAGGACGGATCAGTGGCCCTGTGGGACATCTCAGAGCGGAAGGTGTGCAGCCGCATTGCCTGCCATGGGGAGCCAGTCATGGGCCTTGACTTCGACTCCCAGAAGACCAGAGGCATCTCAGGCTCTGCAGGAAAGGCGCTGGCTGTCTGGAGCCTGGATGGGCAGCAGGCCCTACAGGTCAGTGTGCCGGCCCTGGACCTCATTTATCCTGCTCTGCACTAACAGTCTGATAGGCTGAAACAATATTTAGGCATGAAGAGGAGCTGCTGCAGATCCCTAGCTAATTAATCACTTGGAGGTAGTGCAGGAGGGCCTGTCCGCTGCTGGCACAGGGGAAAGGGGTGTGGGCGTGGGCCAGCCGTTCACATGGTTTGGGTTTCTCCTAGATCTCAAGTTAACAGCCGTCACGTCTTGTCCATCTAGAGAAAGGCACGTAGAGTCCAGGCAGAACCAACCCCTTTGTGAAAACTCAGAGGAATTTTGTCAGTAAGGAACTGATTAATCAAAAAAAAAAAAAAAATCAAAAAYCAAACTCTGGAATGCTCCACAGAACCATGGCCCCAATGGTGGTCTATAACCTAACTCTAGGGAGGTTGTTGCTCATGGGTAGCAGGAAACAGGCCATGAGGCCTCAGATCTGAGTGGGGGTTGCTGGAAATCTCCTCATGATGTCTCATAGGCTGTTCCAGTTGGTGTGACTTGAGGATTGCCTGTTGTCCAAGCTTGGACCAATGGCCACAGTGCCCAGCACAGGGTGGCCTGGCTTGTGTGCTTTCCCCCATTTGGGATGGGAGAGTTTGGGTTAAGGTGGGGGTATATGAGACATGCTCARACCTTTCTATGGTGCAGGTCTTCTGAGGAGCCACAGGCCACAGGCCCTCTTGGCCTGGGTACATACTGGTTCTGGGGGTGGGCAAAGAACTCCATTCACCAGGAGCCTCAGAAGACAAACTTGGCCTCCACCAGCAAGTAGAAACTTTGGAAACAGCCCTGTGAAAAAGGTCTGATGTGGAAGGGTGCCAGGTGGGAGTTGTGTGTCCCTCAGGGTGACTGGTAGCAGAAGCCACAGCAGGCCCAGCTCTCAGCCCCATTGGGGCTTTTGGACCCACAACACCAAAGACAGGACCCATGCCTGCCCTCATCTGTGGTGTGTGGTATTCCAGGCTTCCCACACACTACAGGAGTGTACAAAGAGGACATTGCCAAGACCCTTCCTAAGACAGGGAGKCCTATCTCAACAACCTCAGCATTTCCCAGCCCAGACCCTGCTGCCAGGGGGAAGGAGCTCACCTTTGGCCCATTGGACTCATCCCTGAGTAGACAGACACTGGCACAGAACTGAGGCACATGGACCAGGGGTGGACCCTGAGTAAAAGTAGGGGTGCAGATGGTGCTGAACAGCATTCAGGCCCCTGTGGTACCACCAAACCTGGAATGCAACTAGGGGCATCATCATAAAGACTTATGGAAAAGGGACCAAGTAAGGATAGCAAGGGCAGAGGTTATTGGGTGGGGAAAGAGTGTTGTACAAGGAGACTGACATGGAACAAAGCTAAAAGGACAAGATAGCAGCAGCCTAGGGACAGGTACTGAAGTCAAGCATGGGAAGACCTTGGACTGCCCCATTGGAAGAATGGAGTTTAGAGCCAGAGTGAGGGGCTAGCAGAAGCACCCATAAGGTTGTGCCCACTGCCTTGGTATAAGGCTGGCCTAGCATCCCTGCTAAGCAATATCTGAACAGAGCCCTGCATGATCATGCCCAATTAGACCCCAGTACAGAAGTGTGAGAGATGGCAGTATGGGGCCTACAGGTAAGGCAGGCACATATCATACTCAGAGTATAGGTTCATACCCTCTGGGTACCACCTTTTTTCTGGGGGACCAGCCTGTGACAGGCGCACAGTGAACTCAGAGTAAGGTATTCTATTTGTCCCTCTGTTAGTCCATCAGTGTCCCAGAGAGGCCCTCAGAGGCACTGCTGTGAGGGCAGAGCTTCTCATGCCTCACCCAGAAAGAAGTATCTCCAAGGTCTCAGAATCATGGACCTGGGTTGTGATCAGGTGTGAAAGCCATAATGCTAAAGGTCATTTGTACAAATTGAAGGCTGAGCCACTCTGGGTGCTGGATCTGCATGTTCTGAGCTGCTACAAGGTAGGCATGGGGGCAGGGAAGGTCTCCTCATACCTTTCCCTCCTTTTCCTCAAACCTGATGGGGAGACTCATCAGTGCCACCCCTTATGGGTTCCGGTGTTCATCCCCCGGTGATTTAACCCTCATCAGCCTGACTTTGTAAAGAGCTGAAGACCAGGCAGCTTCTCCAAGATCTCTGTGGCTCCCCACCTAGGCTTCCCTGTACCCGGTACTCTGTGAAGGGGTTGTTCTGGCCCAGGTCTACTTGGTCTCTCTTGGCATGTTTGGGAAACAGCTGCTCGAACTTAAGATTTAAATTTATGGGGTACATTCCAGTCCAGAGATGAACTTTTACTCTACTAATGAATTGAAAAGTTAAAGCAGAAGGGGGAAGCAGGAATTAATGAATTGAAAAGTTAAAGCAGAAGGGAAACCAGGAATTAAAGTGATTGGGGTGATGGTAGGCCCTGGGCAGGTCTGGCTCAGCCTCCCACATCAAAGGAAGAGGAGAGTTCCCCAACCCCTCCCGCCCCCATTGAGCACCAACTGCTCCTGCTGCTGAAAGAGGTCCTGGGAGGGGAGGGAATAGCCCCATGGAGAGGGTAAAGGCAGATATTCCATGCTTTACCTGATGGCATGTCCAGTGCAGGTCCCATAGACCCTGAAAATTTTAGTTTCCGTAAACACCAGACCTCTGGGGAGGAAGCATTCTTGGGTGTTTTAAGGATGCAAGCCATCTGAGAGCTGCCTTGATAACCTGGAAGTAAGTGAGGTGATTCATGCCCTCAGCATCCAAAAGCATTCTCACCTATGCCATGGTGCTATATAACATGGCTGCTTGCCTTGGCCCAAGACCTACATGCCACAGATGTGCCTTTCCTATGTCTTTCTGTTAAAACCTCTAATGAGCCCAAATCAATCTCTCCCAGGCCGGTGCTGGGAGCAGACGTGGATGAGGAAACCTCAGAACACGGGTAATCAGAACCAGATGGCAGCCATGCTGTGCATTCCTGGCACCTGAGGTCATGTGCTATAAGAGCCACTGGTGGCCCGAGATCCTTTCTAGAAGGCCCTGCCCCAGGCCATGGCCTGGTCAGGGGCTGCTGTGGTGACCAAGAGACTATTTGCTCAGGATGATACCCAGGGCTTGTCTTGGAGACATTTGGTGACACTAGAGCTGTGGGCCTGCCTTACCCAAGTGGCTTTCCCATGAGCCATCAGGTTTGGGCTTGGCTGTCGTCGAAAACAGGTGGTATGCAGGCCCTGCTCCTTCCTCCCATATTGGGGCAGGGCCCACAGCCTTGAAGCAGGGACTGATTTACAGCTAGTAGTATTTTTAGTATTTTTAAGTCTTTAAGTAATAATCAGGCTTCTCAACCCCAGTCAGCCCTGGGCTGTGCTGTCCCCATACTATACTCAGTGAACATTCTGGCTGCACCACAGTGGTAGCTGCTCCCCTTCCTTTCCTTGGCTCTGCCAGGAGCTTCCCTTTAAATGGCAGTAGCAGAGCTACCTATGACAACCAGGAATGAGACTGCAGGGTCCAGGGCCAGATGCCCGTGCATCCAGAGTTTCTGTGCCTATTGTAACAGGAGACAAGTATGAGGGCACAGACCTCTGGCCAGTGTTTTTGCATTCCCTTGGAGCCAGGTCCTCTTCATCCTTGGGAACACAACCCCCAGGACAGGTGCTGACCTTTTTCCCCTTTAGGTCTCTGCACAGACTTCTTGTCTCCCTCATTGTCTACCAGGAACTCTGTCCTCTTGCCAGGCTCTCTGCCTTAATGTCATCACCCATTTCCAGGAGTGGCTATGGTAGGTGTAGAGTCACTTCTCTCCCTGAGAACAGTGACTGCTCAGCTAGTTGCTCAGTACAGCCAAGTCCCTTGGCAGAAGCTGGATATTTTAGCCCCTCACAGGTGAAATCACTGGTGTGGAAGCATGAGAAAGCTAGTGTTAGGCTGCCCACTGCCCTGCCTGTGAAGACCACAGTCCAGGGCTCTGTTGAACCCTTATGCTTGACCTGGAGCAACAGGGGACATATTTAAAAGCAGCACTTTTCTCCCAGAAAAACTTCACACAGTTGGGAAATTTGTAGAAAGAGGGAATAGCAAGGAAGTGACCTTGAGTCCCTGAGTAAGTGTTCCTATCCAGGCTCACTGCTTGTTATCCAGAGATCCCTTCTCTACCAGGGGAGAGTTCACAGGAGAGAAAAGAACAAGATGATATCAAGTCAGTCTTTTGTCCTGGTTCCTAGCTTCCAGTGTTCCCTGGGCCAACAGTGTTCTGGTCCTTGGAAGTCAAGGAAAGGACTTCTGTGCCTGCAGACATAGGCAAGTACATCCCACAAACACCTACACTGCCTCATGGTCCTGTCCAGCATGGGCCATCAGCTGGGTCATGGTAATGCTCCTGAAGGCAGCTTGTATGTAGAGCCAAGTGGGGATAAAGGGGCCGTGTAGAGGGGAGGGTACAGCCCAGCAGCTGGGCACTTTGCACACTGAGGACCCATCTGGGCTTATGGTTATAGAGTTGAAAACCTGTTCAGTCGCTTGTATGCAAGCATAAGCAGGAAGCACACAGGTTCCCTAAAGCTAGAGTTCTATCTATAGGACTTTGTCTATAGGAATTTTTCTATAGGATTAAAAATCTTCAAGGTATTTTCCTAATGATGAGATCAACAGAAGGCAAGTGAAGTGTCCTGGACACAGGGATAATGCTGGCTGAGATAGACAGCCAGAGAAGGGTGAGCCCATGAGGGGTGGTCAGGGCTGGTGGACACTGGGGACATTGGCAGATCCATAAATAGGTGGACTCAGGCACTGGAGAGATGACTGAAAGAGAGGAGGTTGGGCTGATAGGGTCCTTGGCCATGAGATAACAGAAAAAGTGACAAGGTGATTGGAGGATAAGCAGTTGAGGTGCTGGTTGTATGTAGAACCCAGAACTTGCCTCATGTGTGGGCAATGACATCCCAGACTAGGCTGGATTAACAAGGAGGCTGTGTTTGCAGCAAGTTATTGAGAGGTTTTCATCAGGTGAGATTCC